TGCATAATGGAACAGAGCCCCTGCTAACAGCAGAGTCACGCACGATAATTTAAACTTGTTTGTATGGAAATACAGGACAATCTTTGAAGTGAGCCTTAATGAGATTCTGCTTGATCTGCGGTGTATCCTGGGAGAAGGAGTTCAGTTTTTCCTCCAGCATCCGGCTCTTGTTGGTGGCGTGTAGGAAAGAAAGGGCGGGCTTGAATTATGAATGGCCCTTCATGTCTTTGTGGTAGCAGGTGGGAAGCGGGGGGCGCATATCCGGGGGCACAGGGTGCGGGAGGAAACGGGGAGAGAGGCCCGGTTCTCGTCCAAGGTGGCTTCTGAGTCGGAGACGTTCGGAAGGGCTTGGTGGACTGGAGTCTCAGCCGTCATCCATCCTGGGAAGGAGCGCGTTGCCGGCCCCGAGAGGTCAAAATGAGCCCGGGGTCCTGGCGGGAGATGCTGCCGTGTTAACGCGGCCCCTGCGCCTTGGCAGCCCCGCCGCTGTGCCGGAGGAGACAGCCGACAGTGGGCACCGCCCAGGGGCTGCTGAGCGGGGCGCCTCCAGGGTCTGAGGAGGCCCAGTGTTTGGTCAACTGGGCCTGACCGTCAGAGGCTCCCAGGAAGCGTGTCTGTGTTTGCTGACTGTCAGCTGAAGAGTTCCTGAAATGGGTGATTTAAGAAAATCGCGATTCAAGTGGGGGTGGGGTCTGCCTTCTGGGGGCGCGGGGACCCTGGAGGGCCGCGGGCAGGCCGGCCGCACCCGGCACATGGCAGCTGGCCTGTCCCCTGTTCCTCCAGCATCGACTTAGAACCTGGTCGCGTCTGCAGCCCTTCAGGCCGCACTTATTGCGGCCACGCCTCTGAGGCCAGGGGAGCTTGTGGAATCCCTTCTGTGGCCTCCACACAGTCACAGCGTAACTGTCTCTGCACCGTGGTCTTCTCTTGAGATCTCAACCGATCCTCAGTCCAGCCCCATAAGGAAAAAGGCATTTTTAGTCCCATTTTGCAGATGAGAAACCTGAGGCCCGTGAGTTTCTCACCCAAGAGCACAAAGCCAGGAAGCAATGGGAACTGGGATGTCGGGGCTTTGTTTTATTATTGGAACACAGTTGCTTGACAACGTCGTGCTGATTTCTGCTGCACAACACAGGGGACCACCTGGGCTTGCACGTGTCTCCCCTCCCTCGGGAGCCTCCCTGCCCCCCCAATCATCCCAGAGCCCCGGGCCGGGCTCCCAGTGCTGCAGACACCCCTGAGCAGCTGTCTGTCTCACACCCGACGGCAGGCACGCCGATGCTGCTCTCTCCTACCGTGTCCACAAGTCCGTCCCCTACACCTGCATCTCCACTCCTTCCCTGCAGTAGGTTCATCAGGACCATTTCTCTAGATCCCGTATATTTATAAATGTGTTAATGTCCAATATTTGTTTTTCTCTTCCTGACTTCCCTTAGTATAAGAGGCTCTAAGTTCATCCGCCTCCCTGGGACTCAAATTCATTCCTTTCTATGACTGAGCAATATTCCATTGTCTATATGTACCACATCTTCTTTATTAATTCTTAAAACTCTTATTCCCATTTTGCCAATGAAGCTACTGAGCTACCTATGAACTGAGTCATCAGACCAAAAGCAGGCGTCTGGTGACCGCATACCAGGACACAGCCCTGTGTCACTCACATGATGTGAGCACGTTTCCCTCCGCGTGTCAGATGTTGTGCTCAGCTTGGGAACCCAGCAGGGAGCAAGACACATCCGGTGTCCTCCCTTGGGGAGCCGACATTCTAGAGGGGTGTGTGTGTGCTAAGTCACTTCAGTCGCGTCTGACTCTCTGCAACCCTATGGACTGTAGCCTGCCAGGCTCCTCTGTCCGTGGGATTCTCCAGGCAAGAATACTGGAGAGGGTTACCAAGCCCTCCTCCAGGGGATCTTCCCAACCCAGAATTGAACTCATGTCTCTTATGTTTCCTGCATTGGCAGGTGGGTTCTTTACCACGGTGCCACCTGGGAAGCTCCTCTTCTGGGGAGAGACTGGCAATGAATAAATAAGCATCTGCCACAATATATGAAGAAGAAAATCAGGCAGAAGAAGGAACTAGAAAGTCAAAGATATGGGAGTTTGGTAACTGTTTTAAATGGGACCACTAATGAAGGCTGCCAGAGGATCCCTGAACTGATATTTGACCTGAGACCTGATAAACCAGGGAAATGAGAGGAATTCATTTCAGAGAGTGGGACTGTCACATGCAAAGGCCCTGGGGCAGGAATGTGTTAGGATCATTAACATCAAGAAAACCCTTCTGCCCTAAGTGCATTAGAGGAAGTGAGTGAGTTAGAAGGGTGAATCACGCAGGGACACATCCAGCTGAACAGAATCTGTATCCTCTTCCTCTGCCCACCACACTGTTCTTCCCTCCAAAGCTGCAAAATATCAAATTCCTTCCTGATATCCGCTTTGCCTGAGGCTCCTCCCCTCTCCCAGTTTCCTCAATTCCTCCTTCCTTTATGTTTAGATGATTCCCAATGTAGAGGCTCTGGGATCCATCCTCTCTCTCTCTTTTTGACATTTTTGTTTATACTTTACCCATCGCTTTTTTTTTTAGCTATCCTGGGTCTTGGTTGCAGCATACAAGCTTCTCTAGTTGTGGCGTGTGGGCTTAGTTGAGGCCTGTGGGATCCTAGCTCTCCAGCCAGGGATCAAACACGGCCCCCTGCATTGGAGGCACAGAGTTATAAGGCTCTGGACCACCAAGAAAGGCCCCCTGGAGTCCATTCTCTTTTTAAATGTCCACCAAGAGATGAGGAACAGAGAGGGCCTCTCTGAGAAGCATCTGTGAGAGGTACATTTTCACACTCACTGAGGTCTTCGCTGACAGAGACGCCAATCTGGGTGTGCATGGGGTGAGACCGTCACATAAAAGTGGCATCATGTGCCTGAGCCCACCAAAGCTTCCATCTCTAGGGATGTAGCGTTAAAGGATGCATTTGCACTTTTTTTTAGTTTTATCAGAGTATAGTCAATCCCTGGGTTGGGAAGACCCTCCCACCCTGGAAGAAGAGACTGGCAAACCATACCAGAATTCTTGGGGCTTCCCTGGTGGCTCAGATAGTAAAGAATCTGCCTGCGATGTGGGAAACCCAGATCCCATCCCTGGGTCGGGAGGATCCCCTGGAGAAGAAATGGCACCCCACTCCAGTATCCTTGCTGGGAAATCCCATGGACGGAGGAGCCTAGTGGGCTGCAGTCCACAGGGTCACAAAAGAGTCAGACACGCTTAGCAACTAAACAACCACCAGCAATTTTTAAAAGATGGGTTGGTACTTTTACTATTGAAGCAAACCAGTAGCAAAGTTGCTACAGGGGATGCTCATTCAGGCTTGAGTCCAGGATTTCCAGCCGAAGGTCTGAGACTCTGAGGCTCCTTGGGGCACTCTGCCCCCTCTTAGAACAGTCACCCCGGACTAAGTCCGCCATTTCCTTCTGCTGAGTAGATGCATTCTTTTCACATTTGATTACTAACCACAGTCATGAGCCAAAAAATTATAATTAAATAAAATGAACAGGTCATGGGATGAGTCTTGGAGGAAAAGGTTGTCTTTTAATACTCAAAATCTTTATTCATTTCATCTCATCTTTATGCTAAGATGCTGAGAGAACCAGATTTTTAGAACAAGTCTTCTCTTTGAGCTCAGAAAAAAAACATTCCTTCATTTAATCTGGCCCTGGCTCCATGTCTTCTCAATGACAAATTTAAGCTAACTACCCCCAGTATCATGGGGATAGCCTTTTTTTTCTTTCCTTTTTTAAAGAGCTGTACTGGAATTTCATCATATTGAATACAAACGGGAAAAAGTACATGGTAGAATAAAACTTAAAATGCTTTTATGGAATTTTCATTATAAGGCTGTCTGTAATGGAGTTGACCTCATATTCACCTAAGATTTCTCTGGCTCCGAGTTCAGATTTCATGCCAATTAACATGTTAATGACATATATCATTTAAAGAGCCCATCATAACTTTTATCACATCATGTTACATCTATTTCCTTGTAATTAAATCAGAATTGCAGGGTGTAATTACTTTCCTTTTCCTGAATACCCGTTCCTTCTCAGACGTTTAAATGCAGGTACAAGTACTAAACGACACTTGGACGTAACAACCTCATGAAAATATTCTCAGTTAATGACAGTGCTGGGCTTCTCCTCCCACCCGGTTTCTTTCTGACAAATTCTTTTCTCCCCCTGTGCTTTGGATGACGTGGAATGATTGGTCGTATCCAGTCAAATGCTTCACGAGTTTTTTAAATCCTCAAGGCCCTAGTCTTCATTAATATGCAACGTTCTCACACATAAATATAATTACATACAATTATTAGCGGAAAAGGATCAGATAAGGTTTATTAAGGAAATATCCTATAATTACCCAAGTCCAAGACTTCCCTTTACATGTTAATTCAACCAAGGGTTGGAATCTGCAATCACTCCACCTGCAAAACAACTACAGACTTTGATTTCACTTTAGGAAGCTGAGATTTTAGGGCAGGACTGGAAAAGGGATACACCTTTGTTTAAAAGACCTAACCAGGATAATTCTAGAAAGACAAAAGACAGTGGCCCAGATCTGGCCACTTCTGGTCTTTCAAACCCTTCCAAACATCAAACTGAAAATTTAAATTTACATCATACTCACGTTGTCATACAGCAAAAACTCACACAACATTGTAAAGCGATTCTCCTCCAATTTAAAAAATAAACTTTTTTAAGGGACTTCCCTGCTGGTCCAGTGGTTAAGACTCTGCGCTCCCAATGGAGGGGGCATGGGTTTGATCCCTGGTTGGGGAACTAAGATCCCACATGCTACATGTCCAATAAATAAATAAAATAGAAAATAAAATTTTTAAGTGACATCATACTTAATTTTTAGGTCTCATAACTTCAAAGGATAGCTAAGAAATGCACATAATTTACAGGCATGTGGTCTTCTATAAGGCTCTGTAAGAATCTGTGGGTAGGGGCGTGCGGGGGCGCGCGCGTGCGCAGCCGTTGCGCGGAGGGTCGAGGCAGAGCCGCGGAATCGCCGCGAGATCCGGTCTCGGTCCACGCCGCTAGTCGCGCAGCCCGTCGGCCAACACGCTACCGCAGCCATGGGAGTGCAGGTGGAGACCATCTCTCCTGGAGACGGTGAGTAGGCGCGCGCCCGGTGGCCCCGGAGTGCCCCGGCCACCGCGCGCATCCGCTCACCCCGCGCGTCTGTCTGTCTCCTCAGGGCGCACCTTCCCGAAGCGTGGCCAGACCTGCGTGGTGCACTACACGGGTGAGTCGGAGGACCGGCTGGGCCGGGGTAGGGGGCGGCTCGGGAGTCGGGGGCAGCCGGCGCGGCCTGGGGGCAAAGGCCTGGGGCGTGGCGGCGGCGGGCCCGCGTGGCCCGAGGCCGAGGCCTGGATGGTGGCAGCGCCCCCGAGGGGGCAGCGTCGGGCCTGCCGAACCCTGGGCTGTCCGAGCCGGCGCACGGGCCGGACTTATTCCGCACTTCGAAAGCGGTTCTGTGTCAGATGCTGCAGTTCTGCCCACAGCGCGGATGGGGAAACTGAGGCTTGTGACGGCGAAGTCACTTGTCCAAGGTCACACGCTCAGGATGGGCAGAGCTCTGGCCAAGGACCATCAGAGAGGACTTATATCATTTCTGTGCCCGTTTACACCCTATCCCCGCTTCCGCCCCACCCTTCGATGGAGATAAGAAGGGCGAGGTAATTCCTAGTCCGTGGGAACTCGGCCCCGCGCTGCGGGTGGGGAGACATCCCACTTTCTAAGTCTTTGCTCTGGCCCAGCCTGGCCTTGGAGGAATTAGATCTGCAACGTCCTTTTCCTTTTCTTAGTTTTGAGCCACTTTATAAACCCGAGCCTCAGTGGCGGTGACGGCCCAGGTTGACATAACATGTAATTTAGTCCCCCAGTCCTTCTGAGAGTAGAAACTTATCCCCGTTCGAAAGATAAGGAAACTGAAGCCCAGTTAGGAAAACAAACAGTATTATAAGCCAAAAGAAGTATTAGACTCTCGGCCAGAATTCTAACATGACATATTCCTTGAGACCATTTTTTACTCCATGCCCTTACAAGGTTCTCCTGGGTTGTACTTGGTAGGGAGGGGAGGTGGGAGGCTGAGCAGGCGGAGACTTAGCTGTAGTGGGTGCTGGTGATTGGCGTAGCCACAGTTGTTAATATGACCAACCTTCCCTCCCCTTCCTCCTTCCCTTTTTCCTCCTTCCCACCCTTTCCTCTGTTCCTCCTCCTCCTCGCTCTATTTCTCTCCGCTCCCCCACCCCCTCAAGTAGGCTGTAGGCAGTTCTGAACCTGCCTCTCAGGGATAAGCTCTCCCCTTCTCTCTCAGATCATGGGGGGAGCCCTCTGTTGAGGGAAATGATTTTTCTTTGGGAAGGAAAAAAGGCAGCTAACATTCTCCCCTCCAGTGCCCTTTTATTTTTCTGGGTTTTTTATTCCTCTGGCCCTTCTCCCTGTGTAGAAAAGGGGGTGGGGGTGTAGGGAGTTAGGGTTAGAACTTTTAAAAAGGCTACCATAGGAGGAAGTATTGAAACCTATCTTGGTAGGGAACTATCTCATACCTACAAAACTGTAAAGTGGTTTTGATGTTTTAAATGGTTGTCTTTGTAGACCATGGTCAGCACCTGAGCCTGGGAGGTCTAGTGGAAGAGAACGTGTCAGTTTGGTTGATTTTGATCTGTGAAATGAGAAGAGTAACCATTGCCTTTTACAGTGCTAGGTGAGTGGGCAGTTCATTCAGTTCCCACAGCCAGCTGGGGTAGGGACTCAGGTGATGAGTTGACTTCTCCCCTCTCTCCTTCCAGTTTCTAAGTAGTCAGGTTAATTGGCGACACCTGTCCCATTCCCACGTCTGTGCCCCTTGTCCTTGGCTCACCCATCTTCTGGTGCTGATGGCAGGACCAGACACCAGCATGTCAGCAGAACGAAGTTTCATTGCCTCTTAGTGAAGTGTCCCCACACTGCATGTCTGGAGCCTTTTCCTAAGAGAACAGATGGCTGTGGGACCCAGAACACTCTCAGGGCTCCCAGTGCCTCTTCTCCAAATCTGTGTTTTCCTCTAGGGTGGCACCCACCCACATGTTCCCAGAACAGCAGTGTGACCCTGGCATGCGTTGGGACAAAAGCTTTCTTTTTTATTTCAGTTTTGATAAGCCCTACAAAGACACCCTGGTGAGAAGTCAGCTCTGCCTCATGCTCACAGAATAGGCTGTTCTTGGGCAGGCTTCTTTGTTCCTGTGGGTCTTCGCCATCAGCCTCCCAGGAAGAACCTGTTTGAGACCTGTGGGGGCGTGAGAGGAATGGGTAAGCGCTTTGAGATTTCATCTGTAGCAGTTGAGTGACTTAAAAGCCACTTGGAACAGAATGCATCGTGAGGGAACATGGTGAAGAGTATCATAAAAATCTGAGGGTCCTCAAATGCAAGAGGACCTCTCCTCACTGAACCTTGAGCAGAAGAAATTCTCATGATCCTCCTAGTTTTCACCTTGTTTTTCTCTACCCATCTATCTCAGTAGTCTCCTGTTAGGACTGTTTCTCTGCTTCTCCCAAGTCACGGATGGTGGACATCCCTGGGTACCCACCTCCCACCCCTCCCTCCTGTTTCTCTGTCTTCTTTTGCATAGCTTGCTCAGACTGCTTGGCTGTGTGGCTCCAGTGGTTACAGTTCCTAGGACGGAGAATCTGATTGACCCAGGTTCAGGTCAGGTGAATTCTCTAGATCCAGTCTGTTCTGACCAGGTAACTGCTGCTGCTGATTAAGGAGCAGCTTCAAAGGATCAGCGTTGGAAATAAGGAAGCCAAAATCTTCTCTTCGTCACCAGGGCTATGATCAGCACAGGCTGACTTTGACCACATGCATGTTCTAAATGCTCCTGGTGGCTGCCAGTTGTATCCTGGATGCCGCTCTCCAGGCTCCCTCTCGTAACTTCCACAGCCTCTAGCAGAGCACAGCATGCGCATGGCCTCAAAGAAAGGCCTGTGCCACATCTATGTCATGTCAGAAGGGAAGGTGAAAACTGTACTTTCTTCAGCCAAGCCTCTCCTAGTAGCATGACAGGCAGGCATTGAGGTGAGAGGGAGGAAGTGGAAAGATAACCTACCAAATACATGCCTTGAGGATCGAGTGGATCCTCATGGCTCCCTCCTTGCCTCCAGTAGCTTCATCAGCTTTATTACTGAGCTTGTCCTGACACACTGCTAGGCTTATGTCCCTTTTACTCACATCAGCAGGCCACGCGCCTGCCATTGTCAGAGCAACCTCAAGTGGATTGAGGAATTCTTTTTTTATAGTTGACATCTTGTCCTTGGGATCAGGTTTAACTTGTCTGTAGCCTGACTTCTGACTGAGAAAAACCAAGGATGCCTTGGCTTCATCACCTCAGGAGGTCCACTTGAAGGGACGCTGCAGCTCCCCTCCCCACCTATTGCCTTTCTTCAGCCTCTGTCTCCCCTCTCCTCCCTGCTTTATTCCACCCTGTCCCCTGCTGGGTGTTTCTTGGCTGGTGATCCGATGTCTGGAGGAAGGCTCACCCCCAGCAGAGACTGCTCAGATGGCTTTCCCCTGATGTGTGCTGGCTTCAGGCAGACAGACTGTAACTGTTTGGGCAGGGCCACAGCATGGCCCTTTTCCTTCCTATAGCAGATAATTATTGAGCAACAGAAACCAGCCAGGCACTGGGGACACAGCCAATGAACTAAACAAAGGCCTGGTCTGGTGGGGAAGAGACTAGCAGCATGAAGGTGTGACACATCAGGTGGTGAGAAGCTCTGTGGGGAGAGGTTAAAGCCGAGTGAAGGCCTGGGAAGGGGGTTTACAGCTTTTAGTGAGGGTGGTTGGAAGAAACTTCTTACAAAATGACACTTAATATTTGCCCAAAGGAAGTTGGGAGTGACTGATGTGGCTGTCAAGGAGAAGAGTCTTCCAAGCAGAGAGAGGAGCTAGTGCAGAGGCCCTGAGGGTGGAGCATGACTTGGTATATTAGCTGGAGTGGATTGTGTGAGGGAGAAGGTAGTAGATGAGGTAATGGTGGGGCTTGCTTTCTGAGATGGGAGTCATGAGCTGACCTGGATTTTATCAGAATCGCCTGCCTTCTACCTACTGTATGGACACTGGAGTGTTGGTGGCAGTGCATAAACAGGGCCCTTGTTGCATCCTGGGTGTTTAGAGCGTGCCAAGGGCAAGTGTGCAGAAGTGGTACCACATGGACAGTGGTCACCAAAGATGTGAGTCCTTTGGGGTTCAGATTTTAGCTTGGGGACATGATCCACTTTTCTCAGCTTCCGTATGCCATCTATTAAAAATGGGAGAAACAATGCCTGCTGTGGGGAGTTGCCCGGGGCAAGTGCATTCTGGGAGGGGCAGCAGCAACAGTAATGCTGTTATTGCACATTGTGTCATGAAAGGTCCCTGTGTCCCAGTGCTAGGTGTTTTATCATCCCTCAGTTTAGGGTTGTCAGAGTTGCATAGGCTGAAACCCTTCCATTTCACATATGAGGAAATAGGTAATTATTTAAAAAAGATGAATCTGAGTGAAGGTTCATCTTAAAACAGGCCTCCACATTGCCTGCAGAATATTTTGGCTAAGAAAACTGCAGCTGTTCTCTTTAATTTGGAGACCAAAGGAGTTTAAGTATTTGTTGTTGATTCTTGGTGGGTGTAAGACGGTCAGGGTTGGGCTACATCAGCTTACTAGTGTGTGCAAGTTAAAGTTTCAGTCCTTTTACCTTCAAGTTTCCTTAACATAATTGGATTTTAATATTTTGCAAATGGGCCCTGCTATGGAAATGTTATTTTCCTTCCTCTGGGACTGTGATAACCAAAATGTGGAATCACATGGATGCCAGCTTTCTTCATCCACAGGTGAGAGCAGAAGGTTCACTTGTCTTAAATGAACTAAAGACCTCATAGAATTCTTGCGTCTGTGTGCAACTCTTATTTGTAAAGTTGTCAAAATTAGAGAAAAATCAAAGTGGAACAGTAATTACCCACGTGCCCACCACCTAGATTCCATGATGGTTGACATTTTGTCATGTTTGCCCATTCTGTCTACTTACAGGTATATGTAGATAGATATAATCTATGTTGGGTTTTTAGCTGAGCCATTAGAAGCTGCTGACATGATACTTTTTCTCTAAGTACTTGAGCATGCTATAAGAGTGAGAGTATTCTCCCTATTCTAATTCTGGTCACATCTGAGAAAATTTTAAATGATTCAGTAGTATCTAAAGCCAAATGCATATTGAAACTACCCCAGT